CTCAAAAGACGAGAGCAACCAATGTCACGAGACGGAGATCAGCTTATCATTACCCCTTTAGGCGCTGGAAACGAAGTGGGTCGTTCTTGTGTTTACATGTCCTTCAGAGGCAAAACGGTTCTGGTCAGTCTCAAATTCTTCGTTTGTTCGTATTACCCATCTTGTAAATGTGCTTGATTTTGGTTTTTGGGGGCATGTCTTATTGTTTGATTGTGTTGTGTGTTTGTGCAGTTTGATTGTGGGATTCATCCTGCGTACTCGGGAATGGCTGCGTTGCCTTACTTTGATGAGATTGTGCCTTCCACCATTGATGTCCTCTTGATTACTCAGTATGTTTACTTTTGTCTTGCTCTTTTGCGGAATTAGGGTAATAATCTGTTTAAAAGGTTAGAGTTTTTGATTGACGAAAGAGATTCGATTTAAAAAACTGTGTATGTATGTTTTAGTTGAAGTTGATTTGGGTGTATCTTTTAGTTTATCTCATCTTAAGAGATGGATTGGGNGGCTACTAGAGCAAAGTCTTCAAATTTTCAGTTTCTTTATACTAAAATAAAAGCACTATGTGTAGAGGCTGATTTGTATTGGATTAGTATTCAATGATTGATGTTGATTTGGATTTGTTTGAGCTTTAAGTAGGGGCTGGAGTTTTGTTCTTTGTGTCTGTCTGTATACTTGAAAATTTGATTTTGGTTAAACTTCTACGTTAACTCGAAACAAATTTTGTGAGTGGTTTCTTAGTTTAAGATAACAAAGTATGGGTTGATGTTTTCTGTCGCAGCTTTCATTTGGATCATGCAGCATCCCTACCTTATTTTCTGGAGAAGGTTTGTTTCTGTTTACCGAATGATTTTGTTCTTTAAACATTAGCTGGAACTAATATATGTTAGTAATCTTTGATTAGACAACATTCAAAGGGCGGGTTTTCATGACACATGCCACAAAGGCTATCTACAAGTTGTTACTTACAGATTATGTAAAAGTGAGCAAAGTGTCAGTGGAAGACATGTTGTTCGATGAACAAGACATCAACAAATCCATGGACAAAATTGAGGTTCNTACCACATCTTATTACAGCTTCTCCTTGCTTTTATTTAGCCAATTATNTTGCATTGGAAATGATCTTTCTGTCACATGCATGATGTATGAGCAGGATACTGTTTCCTTTGACGTTTTCTCTTCTTACAAGAAATAGAAACTATTTAGAATCCAATTGCTGGTTTTGACAAACAAAACATTGTATTATATGATCATGTTTAACTTAAATCACTCCATTTAGCTAAGCTTTAAGTTCAAAAATATTTTAAATCTGAGTTACAGTTAATGTTTAATTCCTCTCTAGGTTATTGATTTTCATCAAACGGTTGAAGTGAACGGCATAAAGTTCTGGTGCTACACCGCAGGCCANGTGTTGGGTGCAGCCATGTTTATGGTGGATATAGCCGGTGTTCGAATCCTCTACACCGGCGACTATTCCCGTGAGGAAGATCGACATCTAAAAGCAGCTGAACTTCCTCAATTTTCCCCTGACATATGCATCATTGAATCGACTTATGGTGTCCAACTTCATCAATCTCGTCACATCCGTGAGAAACGTTTCACTGATGTCATCCATTCAACAGTTGCTCAGGGTGGGCGTGTGCTGATCCCGGCTTATGCCCTTGGCCGTGCTCAGGAACTTCTGTTGATTTTAGATGAGTACTGGGCGAACCACCCGGATCTACATAATATCCCAATCTACTATGCATCTCCGCTCGCCAAAAAGTGTATGGCGGTTTACCAGACCTACATTTTATCTATGAACGATAGAATCCGCAATCAGTTTGCAAATTCTAATCCTTTTGTGTTCAAGCACATTTCTCCATTAAACAGCATCGATGATTTCAGAGATGTNGGTCCATCTGTGGTTATGGCTAGTCCTGGAGGTCTTCAAAGTGGTCTCTCGAGGCAACTCTTTGACATCTGGTGTTCAGAGAAGAAAAATGCATGTGTCATACCNGGTTNTATGGTGGAAGGTACACTGGCAAAGACGATAATCAACGAACCAAAGGAGGTGACTCTTATGAACGGTCTTACTGCTCCTCTGAACATGCAAGTGCACTACATCTCGTTCTCTGCTCACGCGGATTATGCGCAGACGAGCACTTTCTTGAAAGAGCTGATGCCTCCAAACATCATCCTTGTTCACGGTGAAGCTAACGAGATGATGAGGCTCAAACAGAAACTCTTCACCGAGTTTCCTGATGGAAACACAAAGATCATGACCCCGAAGAACTGTGAAATTGTTGAAATGTACTTTAAATCTGAGAAAATGGCGAAAACCATTGGGAGATTGGCGGAAAAGACACCCGATGTTGGTGATACAGTGAGCGGTATTCTTGTGAGGAAAGGTTTCACTTATCAGATAATGGCACCTGATGATCTCCATGTTTTCTCACAGCTATCAACAGCAACTATAACTCAGCGGATCACTATCCCGTTCACAGGAGCTTTTGGTGTGGTAAAACATCGACTCGAGAAGATTTTTGAGAGTGTAGAGCCTTCAACAGATGAGGGATCCGGACTTCCAGCACTGAAAGTACACGAAAGAGTGACGGTGAAACAAGAGTCAGAGAAGCACATCTCGCTGCAGTGGTCATCAGATCCGATAAGCGACATGGTTTCAGACTCCATTGTAGCTCTGGTTCTCAACATCAGCCGTGGAGTCCCAAAGATTGTTGTGGAAGAAGAAGACGCTGTAAAATCCGAGGAACAGAACGGGAAGAAAGTAGAGAAAGTGATATATGCTCTCCTTGTGTCACTCTTTGGGGATGTGAATCTTGGAGAGAATGGGAAGCTGGTAATTACGGTCGATGGCAATGTGGCTCAGCTCGATAAAGAGAGCGGAGATGTAGAGAGCGAGCATGGAGGCCTCAAGGAAAGAGTAAGGTTAGCTTTTGAGCGGATTCGAAGCGCTGTGAAACCAATCCCTCTCACAGCTTCTTAGTAGCCTTTTAAAGCCTACAGTTTTATATCTGTTGTTTTTTCTGTTTCCAAGTAAACTAATTATGATGATTAATTCTAATGGACGTTATTAAGAATGTGTTATGAAACTTTGCTGCTAAAGTGTTTAGGAAGAGGATGAATCAGAGAATTTCTTTATTGGTGAATTTATGGACAAAATCATTGAATAAGTGAAAACGTTTCTGAAATGAAAGTTTTTGATTTGCCGAACAAATGAAATCCTCCTGTCGATCGTCTACATAATTTATAATAATTAGTATTCCAACACTATTATAAAAAAAAACATTTTTATGTAAAAAGTATGTTTATGCAACACAATTTTTTTTTAAGTAGTGATTATTATTCATCTAGTTCAAAAAATTGAAAAAAAAAATCTGAAAGAATTCTCTTATCAAATGATGATGGTTTTCATTGGTAACCTAATTTAAGGTGGTTGTAGGCTCAACCGGTTGTTCAATAACCAATCGTACCGACATCTGATATGGAAAATTCAAAATAGGTGTTTAAAATAGACAATTAGAAGTTCAATAAGATGATTGTGAACTGTCCAAAAATAAGTGAGTTTAGAGTTTTTTTGTATACCAAACGAGCGATTGGATTTTTTTTTATTTTTAAATAATTTTAAAAAATATTGCTATTTCTATTATTTCCTTAAAATAATTTTTAAAAGCGATTTTTTCCAAAAATATCATTTGTTTAAAAAAATATTCGAAAAATGTCATTTTACTCAAAGCATCGAAAATCTGCCATAATTCATTGTTCATAAAATGAAAGAGACATTTCATAGTATATATTTCCGTCTACAATGTTATCGTTTTTGTTCATCGTCACCGTCTATGTCGTCTCCGTCATTGTCTACCACTGTCTCTATCAACATCGACAGTTTTCGTCTTTGTCCACCAACGTCATCGACTCCGTCACCGGTTTTGTTCACAATCGTTTTTATCCACAGCTGTCGTCTCTGTTTTTTTGTCCACTGATGTTTCTGTCTCCGTCTCTATTTTTGTCCAAAACCGCCGACACCGTCTTTGTTCATAACCGATGTCGATGTCTTTGACAACCACCGTCTCTGTCTCATCAACCACCAGTGTCTCCGTTTTTCTCCACCACCTTCTTCTTCATGAGAAAGAGTGAAACAACCCGATCCGTTTTTTTTTAAACATTGGATTCGAATTAACATTCTCATAAATGCTAACTCTCAATAACCCAATCAACCAGTCAATCAAACAACGGAAAACAAGACAATTAACCAAGTAAATCATTCAATAACTCAATCCATAAACAATAATCAATAACCAATATCAAATCCATGACACAACTCAATATCTAAACCAGTTCAATCTCAATTCCAGAATCACTAACACCCTAACAATTCT